CTAAAACTACTTGACGAGCCTTGTCACACAGGTGATCTGCCTGGAGACGCTGTGACAGACAACAATAAATTTGACTTTGTATCTGGTTTCGAAAAATAACTTAATTTTTAACAAAGAATTAGGCATAGTCTATTGATACCCTAAACTGTTAAAAAATGAGCAGCTTTGAGAAAAATCTGCTAGAATATATGGTGCCCAGATGCAAAAGATATTTTATTAAAATTATTTGTGTATTGAAGAAATTTAGTAATTTTCATATAGTTTGTTTGTTTGTTTGTAATTAAGCACAAAGCTACACAATGGGCTATCTGTGCTCTGCCCACCACGGGTATCGAAACCCGGATTCTAGCGTTGTAAGTCCGCAGACATACCGCTGTGTCACTGGGGGGCATTTTCATATAGACTAAATTACACACACCAACCATTTCCTATATATTTTACATGTAATATACAAAAATTCATTTTTAGGAAATAGCATTTTGGATTCGATCTATAGCAACTAAAGAATATGCGTTTGAAGTGCTGTCTCCAGTGGCAGTCCCTGAACCATTATCAATCATAAACTTGCAAATATATCTGTGTATGTCTATAAAAAGGAGTAAAATGTTACTTTAGTGGACTTGCCTGTGTGTTACTTCCAACAGTTTAAATTTAGACGGATTTTTTTCTCTTTTTTTTTTTTTGAGCTGGAAAACTGTTATTTGTTTTTTCTTAGTGGCTTCTTGAATTTATTGGATGTTTGTTTTATGTTAATTTATCTTAGAGTGCCTGTATGTCTATCAACACAATTTCCAGGTCAATGTGAGAAGGTAAAGGATGCAAAGTGAGTATGAAAGTGTCGATTCAACTGAAATTAAATAAAATTAAAATAACTTATTGATTTTACCTCCTTAGACAGTTTCCTGTTTTGCTTACTTATTTTATATGCAGAAAGAACCTACATGGTAAGTTTTATATTATTATTTATAGAGTGAGATTAAAAGATTTTTTCGTACGACAAGCAATTTTAAATATATAATATTTTCAAGTATGAAGTTCCTTGATAACCATCCTGTATAACTACCCCTCATCTTACAGCCTTTACTAGAAATTTTACCGCACTTACGACTTTGCCATGTATTGATTAATTAAGTAACGAAATAATTTACGCGGTCAGTTCTAATTACATTTTTGGCTAATAACAAATAAAAAGAATAGTTAACAGAAATGTTTAGTAACTTTATATTAGTTTTCGTTAACCACGTTTAAATATACGCAAATACTTGTTGGGGAGATTCGTCAGAAAATAAATCATTTGTTAGTTCTTCAAAAAAGGATTTATCAGAGTATTTATGGGTTCAAACTATTGACATTCTGCGTATGTCATTTCATAAGGGCAAAATATCAAATAAAAATTATTAGTTAGCAAGTAATTTTATGTTTATAATAAAAAAAAATTAATTAATATACATAACCGTCAACTTAAAAAACGAGTATTCTTTGTAATGACATAAGAAATAATGCTGATTCGCAAATATTACTTTTTAGAAAATTAATAGTTTAATGTCAAGTAACTTATGCAGGTGTAAAAAGTTGGAATGCTATGCATAATAATACGAGATAAATGTACCCATTAAAACATTATTTTTCATAACGTTTTATTAAATGTTTGATGTACTTGATTATTTTCGCAATTAATAAAAAATGATACTATTGTCAATAAGTAGTATCTAATATATTACATGGTGTCATTTTTGTACTTATGTATATAATTATTTTTAAAATTAATAATGTTTCTTTCATATTAGAGGGGTACACTTTGTATGAGCTTTCTTTTTATGTACTCATAATAAAGATAAAAGACATTTCATAACATTTTCTTTAAAAAAATCAAACGAATTTACTGCTTTATGTGGACACAAATATTAACTCATTTTAAAAATTAATGACTGCAATGTCTCTCTCTCCACAAAAAATATATTACAGTTTGTTTGCAATATAAATACTACATAATTACAGTGGTGGAAAATTTATTGCATTACCCACTTTTCTTCAGAACCATTGTCTCTTTTGAGACCCTAATGCATGTAGGTTAAAATGTGTTTCATGAATGATGCAATAATATCTAATTATTACATCAGCAGCTTTATAGACTGTCTTGGTATTGTATCAGCCGTTTTTTTGGTTTTAAACAGATGTTCTTACTGGGAGTCAGTTTTGAAGTCTATATGCTACAACGTAGGTATGGTGTTACCATTGCTAAAGATTGCAAGTTAATTCCAAGGAAAAAAAGCAGTCATTGTTTTTTACTTGGAGTAAAGAAGGATTTTCAGTAAGGCAGACTGCTAGAAGAATGAGATTTAATGAATCTACTGTGAGTCGCTGGGTGCATAAATATATATATATATATATATAGACTGGCTGTGTGGAGCGGTAGAAGGGAAGGGGTAGGAAGAAAGTTTCCAAAGCAGCTGGCGATTGTGAGCCTGCAGAATTGTCGAATGTCGTCCACAGATCTGAAAAAAAACTTTCAGGAAACTTCAGAGACCACTGTCACTGTACATTCCATCTGGTCTTGGCTGTGTGCAGTTGATCTCCCAGCAAGACAGCCAAGAAAGAAACCCCTCCTCACTAACAAGAAGAGGGGGAAAAAAGATAATCTGGGCGAAAGAGTATGCTGACTGGACTGAAGCAATGTGATATTCTCAGATGAATCAAAGTTCAACGGGCATGAGTCTTATGGAAAGTACAATGAATTACGTCGATGTGGAGAAGAGTTTCATCTAGCGTGTTTGAATTTATTAGCTCCAGGAACCAAAGTTTCAATTTACCGAAATCGCCATCACAGTCTTGCTTCTCACTACATTGCGTATCTGTATAAATGTTGATGTACTAATGGAAGAATTAGGTATTGAACATCATCCTCAAGAATGAAGACTTTTTATCGACTCATCTAAATCTGGTCTGAAAGCTGTACTTTTGCACAATAGGAACACTAAGCCGTTGATTCCTCTTGCTGTGAAGATTAAATTAATCAAAGCATGCAAATTATACATTCTTATATGCAACTTTCAATGAATAAAGTTATCAAAGAAAAAATTATTTTCATGATATGTAAGAATATTTTGAATAAATCTATCATAACTCGAAACTATAGGTGATCAATAATTTTCATTATGATTTATAGAATAAGCATCGTATAATTACTCACATATAGTTGCATTTTTTCTAGTAGCAGAGAAACATTTTTTGTTGCTCGGTATTATTATCTAACGGGCAAAACCAATTCACCAGTATCATTTAAGTTGGTGGATAAAACACTCTCCCCACCAAGAACAACCGCTTCCGCTAAAGAAATTGATGGAGCACTAGTATCAAAGTCATCACATCTCCTTTGGCCAGAGGGAACACTTACATAAGTTTCTGCTTTATTATACATATTCATACTGTGGTTTTCAAATGTGTCATTTTTGCTTTCAGAATTGTCGCAAATAAGATCTTAATTTTCACTGAAATCATGGGTAAAATAAGTTTACTCATCACTGTCCTTTTTCAAATATTTGTTCAGAGATCATTTCTTTTTGTGATTCTTCCAAAGCAGCACGCCTTTCCCTTTCAAAAGCGCCTGTTTCAAACTTCCTATACATATTGCAACCTCTGTTCGACATTATAAAAATAATAATACAGTGATTATCATTTTATTCAATTAACATGGAACTAATTATTTTAAGCACAGTTTAGAACAATGGGGACGATATGCCACGAATAAAATAAAATGACGACACCCCTTGACACTTGCCAACTGACCATTTGAATGAAGGCACATTTGTCAATTTTCATTAAAATTGCCATAAAACAACTAGATTTTTCAAAATTGTTGAATTAATTTAGTAATAATGTAAACAGAGCAATTAATAATTTTATATTTCGCATATATTCTTTACTAATTATTTATGAAAAGAATATATATAAATATGCAATTAAATTTTCTGATAAGTAAGCGCGAGGCCTTAGGCAGTGGCATGGCCCTAAATCCTCGCCCGAGTATATTTTCCGGTGTTCTTATTTTGTAAAATTTTAAAACGAATGTTAACTAAGTGTTAAATAAACGACAGTAGAGAGCGCTAAAGTTAAGATGGTGCAGAAAGTACAAATGAATTTTTGTTCGAAAGATTTTTATTTTTTTGCATTCTGTACAAACTGTTGATGGTGCAATAATGTAGGTACCAACTGCTGTTTATTGCATTACATAAAGGGTTAATGCGAAATGGTATGCTCTACTATATTTAACATTTTTGTATACTGTTTTAAGATTCAAACTAATTAATATCATAGCCGAATGAAATATTAAATGGGTCTTTTCATGCTTTGAATTCCAGTAGTTAAAATTGTGTGAAATATATATCAGAACAACAGCAAGAACGTGATTACTTTGGGAAACGCCCTATTCGAGGGAGTCGTATAACATTTTTTTTGTTCTTTTGTTATATATTTTCACTACTTTACTTCAAACAACTACATTTCTTTTGTACACGTATTGGATTTTCTTCTACTTTTCTAATCTAGTGCAGAAACGATATATTCTAACTGCAACTTATATAGAATTAAAATTATAACTGCTCATGACTTGTTTTTGCATATTAATTATTATACAGCATAATAAGTGTACGTTAAAAATTATAAATTTCAATTAGTGCTGTTTTATTTAGTCTTTTTTATGTGGTATCTTTTCACGGTAATTATGCATTTCTACAGGAACGTGAAAGATATTACACTTTTGAACACTGAATTACAAACTCAACTGGTGATTTTTTAAAATGTGGAATTAAATATAATAAATTTACCATAATCAAGACACTAAGAAATCCAGATGCAGAATACCTGTTATAAAACTATTTAAAATGTATTAAACATATGATAATTTGTAGAAATGAATATATTTTAAATTGCAAGCACTATAAATTATTTTGTCTTACCAAGCATGGAGAGTATTAGGTAACAGAAACAACACAACACCCATATTTTACATATTTTCTACTTTAATGACAAAATGTAGTGCTGTAATTACAGCAGAACCAAATGGTCCTTTACATCACTCCAACCATTCTGCCACTTGCTACACAGAAGTATAAGGTAGAGGAAGATGGCTAGGAAAAGGAAAAAACTAACAAAATACCCAAAATTAGCTGTATCGGTTTTCTTTATCATTAAAGTTTTTAATTACCAACAGGTTCTAATTTGTACATATACACACAAAAGAATATCTATATTTGTCACATTATTATAATTTTAGCCCATGGCAGGTTTGGAAATAACAGCTGATCTGTTATGGAAGGAATAAATAGAAACTATACTTGTGTTCATGTAGTTTTACTTTACAAGCACATTATACTGAACTTATTTAGCTACATCCTTTCTCTACACTAGAAGTAATACTGCACAGGACTAAGAAAATGTACCATAGTTCTGTTCTACAAATATAGCTGCAGAAACACTATTAATACTTTTTATTCTTCACAATTTTTTTTTTTGTCAATTTTACTTTTACATTTATACAAAATGTTGTCTCTAATGCAACTGACCTATTACAAGATACTAATTAAAATTAAAAATCGACAAATCAAGTATTTTGAAAATTAAATGATTAATTGAAAAGGCAGATAAGAAAACTTATGTCCTTAGCAATAAATAAAATTTAAAATTATTTGACAACAAACATTCTACATGATTTACAAATTAAACACAAAATCATGTGATTATAAATGAATTTGAAGGTCAAAATTCTATCTACATGATTAATATAATTTTCTAAGCATTACTACAGATTTCTGAAACTATTATCAAGAAATCAAGCCAATACAATGATAGTAAAAACAACCACAAATGTGATATATCCACTAAAAAAGTAATTCAATTAAAAACCATAACAATTATTACACAAGGCCCTAGATAAAAGTAATGCAAGCTTAAATATAGCTAGATATCTTTATATATATATAGTTATTTACACTTAAATGCTGGGAATGTAAAAGAAAATCTAATAAATGGAGAAAGCATCTCCTTTAAATACTTTATCTTAACCTCTTAAAGACTAGTAAGGAGACAAAATAATAACTTTTAGTAAAATTCATAGATATCTAATTAGTGATCATATGTAAATCTTATAAAGTTGTCACAAAAACTGAATATTAAAGGTAATACTAAAGTAGGAAGTATCCCTTAAACTCTTTGTTATAATGGTAATAAACAGACCTTTAATTCAAATAAAGTCCAAAATCCTTTATATCCACAGAGATTTACAACTATAACTGATATTTTTTTATTGAGTTTAGTTTACAATGAGACATTCAGAGCCATGAAGATTAAACATTTTTTAAAGGTAGAACAGTTTCAGCAAAACTATGATACGTGCAAAAATAATTAGAAAAATAAAATCATTGTTGGTTAAAAAAATATCCTGATACTAGAGATACTGAGCAATTATAAAACAACTCCAAGCATTAAATGAAGTTTAATCTGCATGATAAAATCTGCACTCTTTAATGAAAATTCTGGACTTCAATGACCTGTCACTAGTATAGCTTATAATGAATGTAAAAGTATATTATTTATTTAAAAGTTTTAACATTGGTCTTATTTCTTAGTTATACACTTTATATAAGTCAGATTTTCTAATATAATTTGGAAAAAGTACTGGAATCAGATACTAATGTTTAATAATTTATTAATTATCACAGCCTATAAAGTGTGAAACAAAGTTATTTTACTGTCACTGCTGATTCATCTGAACCAACTTTTCCCTTTGTGATTAATACAAGTGAGATTTTTCTAGAAGGACAAAGTTTTTGAGAAGTTATTTACAGTATTTGTGGGAAAAAAATAATTCCCATTAGATGTTTATACTGCCAAAGAAATATTTCATTACTTCTAAGTGTTAAGACTTTTTTAAAATCTACCACTAATGTTCAAAATAATTTGTTTTAAAACTAGATAGAACTAACACACTCCTAGACAATTTTATGAAGATGAGAACTTAAGCTGAAGAACATGCTAATTTACTTATTAATGATTAAAACATAAATGGTGTCTTAGGTTTTTTGTTTATAACTCATTGCTCTGAGAAGTTCTTAATCAAGTCGGAAGGATGAATCATCAGATTACAAAAAATAAAACCTTTGAACATTGTAATACTGCAACGTCAAATAAGCAGAAATCTTGATTTTGGTTTTCAACTCTGTAAACAGAAAGTAAGCTAAAAATTCATAATATTTCAACCTCTGCAGTCAAGTTCTGAATACATAATAAAACGAATAGTTTTTTTGTAATAACATAGTTGTTAATTCTAATTTTTTACAAAATTTTTAATAAAACACACAATCAAACTTTAAAAATCAAAAAATTTACTCTTGTGGGTTGCAAAAGATACAAGAACAATAATTCTGTCCATGCATCCCCACCTTCTAAACATAATTCTACTGATATGGTACAAGTAAAACTGCCCCACTTGTAGAAAACCTGAAATGTTCCATTAGATTTCTGAGATACCTATATATGACCTAGCACATGCATTGAGTTTTTTTAAATTAACCCCAAAATAAAGATAAATATCTTTAACTTAAAGAATCATCAGACTTAACGTTTTTTAATCTAAAGCAGTAACATATTTATCCATTTTTTTAGTACAAATCATTGACAAATTTACCCATGTCTTAGCTTAAAGCAGCATTGGAGATACCTATGCATTAGCCTAAAATAACATCAAATATTCCTGTTTTAGCCTATGACAGCAGCAGCATATCCACGTGTTAGACTAGAATAGAATCAAATGTTACCATTTTAGCCTAAAGTAATGTTAAATATTCCTATTTTAAGCACCAAGAGAAATTCTTTTCCCTTTTCAAAACTGACCTAGCAAAGAAAACCACAAATTGTTATATAATCAATTTGACCATTTATTTAATGTCTGATAAAGAACTTTAGTATTTTATCTTTTAGCTTTGAAATGATTAAAAACAACTTATCTGCTATTATCACCAAATTTGTAATGCTAACAAGTATAATGAAGCATGTTTAAAGAATAATTATATAATTATCAAATGGCCAGCAAATTCTTTTGTTTTATAGAAGTCATACAAAACTAATATACTATTTTTATTTAAAAAAAACAATAACACTGGAAAGCTACTTCCCTCCCATTTTATATTTATCTAAATGTCTGTAAAATAATACAGAGACAGTAATATATCTTTTATCAAATGTTAAAATGTGTTAGATAGCAACAAAAAACTTTTCTTCTTTAAAAATCAATATAAATATCATAAAATAAACCAAAATAATTTTACACTATATATATTAAACTCTTCAAACTTTCTTCTTAAAGAATTAGATTTATCTATTTTTTTGGAAACTCTAAATAATAAACAAACCCTGACTTTTTTCATGTTAAAAAGTCACAATCAATATCATAAAGTAACTACATGACAGCTAGGATTGTTAATATACACGTCTTTCCCTAGCTAGATAATAATTAAAAAAAAAGTTTGTGTATAAATTAACATGACAAATAACTGGATACATGAAGCTCTGAGGATATATTTCTTTAAACTAGGTTTATACCAATTTCATTGTTAATATACCAAATATAGGCAAGAGAAGCAAGTTTTTTTTCTACTTTTGAACATTTTATGTCTACTGAGATCTTATATTTAAAGTAAGAAAAAAGTTCTTTCAGTAGATGAGAGAAAGCCATCCTTTGAAACTTAAGTATGAAAATACAACAGTTTTCACTGACACCTGTACTTGATCTGTCGACATCATGGTTTGTACAATTCATCTTTGCCACTTGTAAGCTAACATAAACGTTTAACTTAAGTAGCTGAAAATAAAATGAAAAGTTTGAAATACCCCGATTCATGAAAAACTATTGCTCTCCATGAAATAAACAAAAAACATGTTTTATTATTATACAATCAGGTTTTATGAATACTGTAACACAACTTTTTTAAATTTGATATTCATGCATACAAAATCAATATCACATATTCACATTTTTTTTACAAGTAAAAAAAAACAAAAATTTTCTATTGTGCCACAACCATTTATTCTAACAGCAAATAAATATGAGCAATTGTTTTACTCTTGAACTCAGTGTACAAGGGAAGGTTAGCTGCATATATAAACAACCTAACCTGGTTTTGTAAAAAGCTGACACTGAATCTGTAATTTTCTAACCTGACACTCCATTCATTCATATTGAACACTATCCTTATAGCTAAAAATAAAATGCAAACAAAATTATCACAATATTTTTTTCATGCTAAAAAAAAAGATTTCAGGGATCCCTGGGGTACATTTGCATTTTGTGGACTTGCTAGTTTTCAGCAAACTTGGTATGCATACATCATTAGCTCTACTTTCAATAAATTTCATAATTACACAAAAATGAAAACCCATTATGTTAATTAAGACCAGTGACTTTGAAATATTCATGCAGAAACAGGTGAAACCTAAACAAAATACAAAGAGCATTAAACAACCTAGTACAAAATGATTATGGATATCTTGTAACCTGAAGTTCATTATAGTAAAGCAATGATGAGCACGACCTGTTAGGATATATGAATTTTTGATTTGGAAGAAAAGAGATGGCAATGGCTTCTTAATAAATTCATTATAATACACATTAAATTGAGTGGACCAGTTTTTACACAGACCTCCCTATTGAACTGGAAAAATTTGGGATGAAATGTCTGGCAAAAATGTCAGCTTATCCCTGAAGAATTCTGACAGCCCATGTCGCAAGTGAAAAAAAGATTTATATCTAGGTGGAAGCAAGCTTTTACAGACCTCTTCTCTATCTTCTGTGTCTGTATGGGTTTGCAGTACTATTACCCGACTGCTCTGGTATTCCATCCACACCATCTTCTATTGCAACATCTGGAAATTACAGAATGAAACAATCAGTTCTCACATACTATTCTCAATCTCAAATCAGTAAAACTGAGTTTTAAAGAAACACATACATTTGTTAGAATATTACAGAGAAAAAATTTACTAAGATCTTCCACGATAAGAGAAAAAAACTGTTATATTTTACGATGCTTGAGAGGAAAACAAAAAAACTCATGTTACTTTAGTTTTCTCATTATCTTGCAAAATTTGGAATTAATAATCAAACAAAGGTTTTTATTTTATGGAAATCTCTTGTCTAGTGAAAGCTATAAAGAAAATCAGCAGCTGAAGGTGAGGGTGCTTTAGCCACTCTGCATAGGAAATCATTATGTAAAATTTGTTGATGTGAAAACTTCATTACCACAATCACATCTTTGCCACTGTTTTGGATGCAAACAAAGAAAAGTAGCAAATTGGTTTTCCTATTCTTATCTATCACAAGAGTAAGTTTATTCCTTTGCCACTTTTGGTTTTTGTCAGCTTCTAACCATTAACAAAAAGTAAAATATGTGGGCAAGCTTTTTAGATAATTTGTACATTTTTATCCTAGTTTTTTAAAGCAAACTTAACTTACTTAGAAGGTAGTTTAAGCCTATAGACTTTAAAATACTACCGCTTTACTACTTTATGCAAAGTCAATAGTGTTTATTTGAATATTAGTTTTAAATATCCTGAGTTTTGATTAAATCAACCATATTAATTGTGATTTTTTGCAAAAAAAATCAAAATAACTTCTTTACCTAAGTATATGTTTTGATTAAAATCAATAAAAATAACAACGTGCAAAAAAATTAAAATTTGTTAAAGCTATTTTAATCAAAGCAAAACCAGGTATGTTGTTCCTGCTTCTTGTATGTGCATTGCATGACATTTCAAGTTTCAGAAACAAAATTCCCTACTTTTTTGGTGTCCTGATTTCTGCTGTGTGGTCAAGTGTCATTTGCAGCATATTCTGACTATTATCATTCCATTTAATGATGAATTTATTTATTCTCCTCTCGTTGCAAATGAAAATTTGCCAATACCAACCGTTTTTGTAAAGTCATTGAATAAGTGATTCTTGTAAGTACACACAAGCAAAGCAAAAGATATGGCTGAAGCAAGCATATTTAGTTGAGGGAGTGTGTGTGCATGTTCGAGAGAAAGC